GTGTGTGTGTGTGTGTGTGTGTGTGTGTGTGTGTGTGTGTGTGTGTGTGTGTGTGTGCGTGCCAGGGACGGGACGGAGGACCACTCCCCCACCTATCAACCAATCAATCAACCAATCAATCAATCAATCAGTCAATCAATCAATCAATCAATCAATCAATCAACCAATCAATCAATCAATCAACCAATCAATCAATCAATCAATCAATCAATAAAAAAAAACAATCAATCAATGAATATTTTTTTGTTTCCTATTTTTTTAATTATTTTTGCTATCTGCCAAAAAACACCCCCCCAAAATTTATTTATTATTATTATTTTTTATGCAGGCCTGTAGCCGCCGACGTGCGCCGGCCGCGCGCGTGTGGAGTTTTCCCGCCAGCGCCCCCACCGGGCCGTGGTGCGGATCCTCGCAAACTCGGCCGCGCGACCTTGGCCGTGGGCCCGCGGCCGGCCTCCTCGGCCGCGGCCGAGGCCGCAGGATCCGCGGCCGACAGTGTCACGTAGGATGGAGGGGATGGAGGCCTTGTGAGTTGGAAGGAGATTGTCGATATGGAGAATGCGATAGAGAAGATCGGATAAGGTTGTGGTGGCCTCATGGACGAGGACGCCAATGATTTCGCGGTTGGAGACCCGCTTGAGGCGGGAGATGAAAGTGGTGTTGCTGACTAGGTGGACGGGAAATTCAATATGCTGTTGTAGTAAGCGGACATATTGGACGTAGCAGTCGGCGAGGTAATTTTGGCGAAGGCGGCAGAATTGGTTGATGTTATCATCGACAGTCTTTTGTAGGCGGAAGGTGGTTGTGATCATCGTGGCCCACTCGAGGAAGGAGTGCGCGGGCTGGCCACTGAGTTGGCGGTTGGAGACTTCGGTGAGCCACCAGCGGGCGACATTGGCGAGGAGTCGTGTACCGGCTATGGGTAGCCAGTGGATGACGGGGACGGTGCAGAGATAGAAAGCTTGTTGGAGTTGGCTGAGAAAGAGAGATACATCCTCATTGGGGTTACCGAAAAAGGTTGGAATGTTGTGGGGCCGGAATGTGCAAGGGATTTCGCCATAACTAGGGATGTGGCCCACGTGGTTAGCGACTCTAGCGAGTGCGTTGAAGTCGAGGGTGGGTGAGGTGTCAACGAGCCGAGTGAAGTCATGTTGGGGGTTTGTTGGGAGGAGGGTGTTCGGGGGATGTTGGGGGACAGCAGGGGAGCTCGGGTTCGGAATCGGGTCGGGACGCAGCTGGTGGAAAGAACGGGGTTGGGATCGGAGGGGGGGGGGGGGGGGATCGGGGTCGGTGAATGGGTGGGCAAGAGCGGGAGAGGTCGGGTTCGGGATCAGGGGAGGAGATCAGGAAAGGGGGGTTAGCGCGGGAAGCGAGGGGGAAGAAGGGGAGCGACGGGGGTTTGGGAAGGAGTTTACTATGGTCAATGTAGTGAACTTTGTGGTACCAATCATGCCTTTATGCCTATTGTAGTGGAAGCTGTCTGGGGGGAGCATGCGGGGGAAGGGTCGCGCGGATGGGAGATAACGCGCGGCGGGGGGGAAAGAGGACGATG